AAAAAAAAAAAAAAAAAAAAGAACTCTGCCAAAAAAATAATGCACATACCTCAATGAACATACAAACAAATATAACACCTCTCCAGAATCAAACACAAACACCCAGATTACTGTTCTTAACTGCGCTTAACTGCTGCTCTTGCTGGTTATACCTGGTAGAGATAAGACCAACCAACTCTTTAGCCAATCTCGAATTTGGCCAACGTTGTAACATCAAAGCTCACATGAACATAACATGCAATAATTTTCTGTAATGTGCACATCCGGGTGTACCTCATAAATTCCATCATATATCAATCAACAATCGGAGGAGTAGAGACAGTCCAGCACTGTCTCCATTAAAGCTTCGTTCCAAAAATTATCATAACCGGACAAAAAGTCATCATGAGTACCAATTATAGCGGTTTCTTTCAGATCCTCTGGTCGAGTTACCATATGTTCTCCGAAACTCTTGCCACTGTCTCCTCCCATCAAATGGATAATCATGATAATTTGAATAGATTTTGGTGGTATTAGTGTTGTTTCCTCTGTTTGGCGTGTTACGCATCTCCTCTTCCAGATCGTACTGTGAGCGCTGCAATTTTACAATAAAATCACACTTAGGAATTAGATTATTATCTACTATACTTTTATCCAAAAGTCCTGTTGCCATTCAAAGCTGAACCTCAGCGTAGTATTATTATTATGTATCCTTTTCTTGAGGGTGAATCGGTACAATAGCACAACTATGGGGGCACTTTTTAATTTTTGAAAGATCATTGAACTTATTATTCATTTAATATTTTTTAGAAACTCTATAGGGTATTTCTTTGCATATAAAGCAATACCTTTGCACAGTCAGAAAGCACTTGATAAGCCTCCCCAATCATTTTGAAGAGCCTCTCTGCATCTTTGTAGACCTCCTCGGATATCTCCTTCCATATTCCATCATCTGAATTCTCATTTTTAGTCAAAGATTGACCAGCCTACAACAATGAAAAATGTAATAAAGGTATTTTTCTTGCTGCAGCTAGTTTCAAATAGCTGTAAACTACACAAACTAGACAAGGGTGAAAAATCGTGTAATCGAGTTGGGTTTCACGTTGACATGATAGCAACACGAGACAATACAGAAATGGTTGCCAAAACATGAACATGATATTTTCGTGTCAACACGACACAATAAAATAAAAATAAATAAAGATAATATGATATTACCTATCAATGCAAGGTGACACGTTACACATTACACATTACAAAAACAAATATAATTTTCAACCTTGTCGGGATGATACTTGAGTGCGGCTTTGCGGTAGGCCTTTTTAATTTCGGATGCAGAAGCACATGGATCAACTCCCCTGGAATTTAATACACAAGAAACCGACTGTTATTAAATTGAACAATATATTCAAATTCATTTGTCCAAAGTACATACGCAACAATTCACTAATTTCAGGGTCCGAAAAGTTAGGTTACGTCAGAAAGCCAAAACGAAACGTTCATACCAAATAGAAGTCAAAGAAGCAAATTAAGGAGATTGCCACTCACAGGATAAGATACATATTCAGAGGAATTTCATTTTGAGCTGCTTCTTCCATTTCCAAAAGTTTTAGTCGAGCTTGCCGAAGTTCATTTTCTCTATCTATTTTATCAGATGCTCCAGATTGAATAGTCTTCTTTTCTATTTCTTTTGTGAGAAGGGACACAAGCTTCTGAAGATCTGCAGCTGCCTGCCCATAATCCCTAATTATCTCATAATATGCGGCTCGTCTTGATATAGCCTGTACATTTATGTATGCATATCAGAAATATTCGAGAAAACATACAAAAATATTAAAAGCATTAAAAGTAGAGATACATGTGATTCACAGCAACAAAACTGAAGTGAGGAGAGTCAAAGCTAATAGTGAAACAAACAGTAACATATTCGTTGGAGCTAAATCTCCATTAATAGTTTCATATGCTAAAAGTGCCAGAATTGAGAATCCAAAAGAAATGATGCTATTTATTATTACTGGAAAGAAAAAGAAAAAAAATAAAATCTAATCTACCAAGTCCTAATGGAGTTATTTTAAGATTCAGCAGCATACACAATAGTGTCTGACTACCAGGCATATCTGATATAAAAAGCCTTACGAATCGAACTAGATTACCCACTTCAAACTATTACCAAGTCAACACAGCTTCTTATAAATCATAAAATTGGCACCAAAATATGAAGTATATGTATTTTACTCGAATTAGTTTGGATAATGCATGGAAACCTTATAATAATTTCCATCAAGGGCCGCGGCAATGCAGCAATCCGCAATTGCATCTAAAATTTGTCCTGAAGCACGATATGCGGCGGCTCGGTTGCAGAAACAAATTGCCGCAAAAGGACGAGACTCGACAGAACATGATATAGCAGCTGTGTAATGCTCAATAGCTTCTGCATGCTTTCCTGATTTGTATGCTTCATTTCCTGCAGCCTAAATAGCAAAGGGTTGATGGTTATCAGAAGTCAATTAATCAAATTTCATCTGCACAAGGAGATAACAAGGAAGAAAAAAATAAGGAATTCTAGGGGGGTTGACGACCAACATTTGCGTTCATTACTTGGTGAATATCATGAAGAGTTAATAAAGTATAATGTCATGGTAGAGGAAAATTGAAGGCAAACTCCTGCTAAAGCTTCAAACAAGATTTGACAGTTCTATAACCAATTTTGATTGCTGATGAAATGATCTTGATTGCATTTTTTGTTAACATCAACTCCTTAAATGGCCACATCTGCATGGTCACTATTGCATGAAGCAAATCGAATACCTCACCCAGCATTAATCTATTGGATGCACCATAAATGAAACTATAAAAGCGTTTTTCCGACAAGAAATAAACTCACCTTATGGTGTAACAACTCGCGTATTGTCACAATCAATGGAAACATGGATTGAAGTCTCCCGCTTTCACTACTGAAAAATCAATTTCCCAGAAAAACAATGAGCCAACAGAAAAATACAACTATAATGTGACACACATTAATGTAATTGATGCTACCTTTCGACAGGAGAGCCTAATTCCTCTTGCTTTTTGAAGAACTTAAGGGCTTCCTCAAGTCTTCCTAAGTAGAAAAAGGCCTCAAAGATGCGTGACAAACACCAGAGCCTGAAGGAGGGAGTCCTCTTCAATTCAGAACCTTGACACTCCATTGAGTTGCTATCGACACCAGATGTCAGAAAGTTTGACTCCACATAACCAAGAATTTGCTCGCACAACTGTATAAGCTCTACATATTTCTTCAGCTGTAAATCAAACAATAGTAAGATACTTGGAAAAATGCATATCAATTATATAACAAATGCCTATTGACTCCCTGACTATAGGTCACTGAAATATGACGTATTTTCCCTTAGCATTCATTACATACCCTAAAAAGAGCGTCCACTTTCATATGAAGCAATTTTACAGAATAAGAGCTTATCTGCAATCCCTCAGAAATCACAGTGACTGCATAATCTATGTCATTGGCTGTTCTCCGTCCCAAAAGTTCTGCAGCCTGCTCCATGCAATCCGCAACTTTCTGAAAGCCAATTGAAAAAGAAAAAAAAAAATCTTGAATTTCATGAGGAAAAAGCAATGATGATATGTCCTTAACAAATATTGCACAGAAAAGGTTTTACACAATTCCCCTAAAACAAGAATGGAGACGATTGTATAAAAACTGCAGCCAGTAGTAAAATAAGCCATTAAAAGTTCCATCTTCCCTTTTCAGCATGCTATGTGTTTTGTCCTTTTACTCTTTACATGCTCAAGGAAGCAACAAGAAAATTGAGAAAAAGATTAGCACTCTCATCCCTATGCTCTTCTCATAAAGTCATAATACAGAAATTCCAAAATCTGTTACCAGTAAAATCAAGCCTATGTCCTAGAATATCTATCATCTATGGAAAACTCCAGTTCCAAAACCATGCATTCATTAAACTCCCATAATCCCACTATACTCTTCCGATGTCACCAACTGTGCGATGCCACAGTCATTTTCCACCTTGCTAAGGAAAACTGTGCCTCTTGTATCGATGACTTTTAAAGATGAAGCGTGACAGTTTCATTTAAAAAATACACATCTACCATAACGGCCCATGAAACACACAAAAAATAAAAGCAACTCTGCATGTACTCACTTCATTGGATTATAAATCAAATTGGTGAAGAGTATAAATTTTACATTGTTATATCAAATATTTCATAAACAACCAAGAGATAATAGCATTTGATTTTAAGAATTTCAATACCTTGGCTTTCTCAAGGCCCTCAGAAGCTTCTATCAAAAGCTTCCGGTCCACACAGACATCAGGCCCTCCTTGCAAACACTTCGTAAAATATAGAGTTGCATTCTCCACCTCCCCTAGAGCAAGGTAACAGCTGATATGTCCAAGAAAAAGATACAAAACATTAAAGGGAGACAAATATATTGTATTGTAATTGAAGCAAGGAAATAAGAAACATCACCCAATTAAGATGTTATTTAAGGGCTGGTTAGACTAATGGATGTTTTATCAGTTATACCGCGGAATAAGTTTAATTAATCCTTTTGGATAGTTCAGTAAACCGTTATATAACTGGGGACTTTCTTCTCACAAAAGAGAACTTCAACTGATGAAAAGGTTATGCTGAATCAATAGGAACTAAGAAGCTTCAGCTAAAGGCAACCAAACAAGTTCGACTTTTTATATGAGAGTTGAAACTAGAAGACTCCTCTACGTAAAGCATTTTGATCTGTATGCAAGAAAGTCACGTCTCAATCAGCTCCAAGGCTATTTGGAGATGATACGACAATAATCATCCCAACCATGATGATGTCATTACATCAGACATAGAAAACCCAGAAAATAAAAGAAAACCAGATATCTGCAAAAAAATACGTAAAGGTCACATATGCATTACCTAGCAGCTCGAATCTGCACCCTAACAAAGTAAGGATCTAAAGCAGAAGCTCTTGCACAATCTTCCAGTGCTTCTCTCATTCTTCCAAGTGATATGCGTGTTGCAGCACGATTACTATAGCACAACATAAGAGCCCTGAGACAGCTTCTAGATGCCTCATTTTTGGAAATACAATTCACTCCTTTCGTGTAACAATCTTCAGCTTTTAAGAACTCCCCCCGCGCATAGGCTTGATTCCCCCTAGCATAAGATAAAACCAAAAGCAAGACCGTGGATCAACCAATACAAATTTCTTGTTGATGGTAATAAACCACAGTCCACCTGCCATTACAATGAACTGAAATAGGGAAACTGGAAAGGTAGAAGTAGTCAGTTTCCAAACAATTCTAAAAAGTTAATAATTGTACACACCTCAACCGCCACTTCTCACAAGACTCCTGTGCTGCTATCGAGGCAGCTGTGGCAGAGTCCTGGCTGGTAGCCTGTTCTTTAACTTGATCATTCTTATCCTTTCTCGGACTCAATACACTGGAGAAATTACCCTTTTGACCCTGCTCGGGTGAGAGCAATGTTGAACCAGAAACCTGAAACGAGGACAAGTGAGACAGTTCCTGTGGAACTTTGACAGTTGGGACTGAGTTAAACGAAAGCTTGGTTTTATTTTTCTTCTCCTGGACCCGAACTGAGGATGAGGACTCGCCACGTTCACGAGAGGATGAAGATGCTGCAAAAGTAAAGCTGCTTTTAAATGTGTCTCCTAAACAAGAATCATATTTCGACTGGACCTCGCCATCACTATTTTGACTCTCGGTTTTAGAGCCGGAACTCACTTCAACGTCAAGTGCAGTCACAAAGGAATCCGTGCAGTGATCCAACTCATCATTTGCAGACTTAAAGCTCTCGGTCTCAGCCCCCGAGGCAACACCTTCTTCTGGATTCTCAACCATAATTCTCTCATTCACATGATACACAAATTCTTCATCTTGCCCTATACTGCTCTTGGCATCAAGATCGTTTATATGCAATCCCTTGGTTGCAGAGACAAGAGTTTCATCGGCTATGTCATCTACACGAAAAGATTCTTCTGATGCCACTGAAGCATCTCTCGAGAAACTACTGTCGTTAGCCAGTTTTTCCTCATATGGAGATAAGTCCATGGGAGAATACTGTTCATTGGATTTGCTGTTTGTTTCTGGGCTTTCCTGAAAGACAAAGCTCGGCTGGAACTTCGAAGGTACCTGCACATGCTTCTGACATTTTCCCTTCTTTTTCTTAACTCCACTATCTTTGCTTGAGTCCTTCTTCGTCTCGTTTTTTCTGCTTAGGCCAAATAATGCATGCGCTTTTGGGTCCGGAGTCTTGAACTCCACTGGTTGGGCCGCCATACTATTCAACGTGCTAGTAAAGCTGAAATCGACTTTCTTCTCAACTCTGTCCATAGAAGGCATCTCGGGCATAGTCTCTACAGCTTTGAAATTGTTGCCACTGAATGTAAACGATGGTGGCAGTGGCGAATTACTTTCATTTTGAGAGTTCCTATGAGTACCAATGTTCTTGCTTTCCAAAGACTGAAAAGTAAATCTCGGATTTAGTGATCCATAAACATTGTTCAAATTCCCATGACCACCCAAATTCTCAGTCCGCTTGGCAGGCGTAGTTTCTGGTCCAGAACCCGTGCTTGGTTTGGACCCAGCATTTCTACTAACTTTGAATGTGAATTTACTATCGTCTCGAGAACTACCATCATCAGCCGAACTATTCAAAGAATCTTCGATTTTCAGATTCTTGATCTCCTGGGGAAGCATATTATCTAAGCTTCCACTTGACCTGCCACCATTGCCTCCAAAGCCAAAGCTCAACGAACCATCATGCCTAGAGTCTTCCACACTCAACTTATTCATCTTATTAGGAAGTCCTTCCACATTCCCACCGTAATTTTCACTAAAACGTTTGCTTTCAATGTGCAGCCTTCTCATATCGTCCGGTAATTCGGAAACAATGCTTTCATCGACTCCCGGAAAAAGGGTATCTCGACCACTCAAATTTACATTACCACCAATATTGCCGCTAGCACTACCGCTACTACTAATGCTGTCATTCTTCATATTCACTCTATCGGAATTCGTCTTTTCGCTCTCAATTCTCAGTTTCCTCATTTCATCAGCAGCCTTACTTGTCTCCAAATCACTGTTATTATTATCCCCAACAGGCTCACCAAATAAGCTACTCTTGGTACTACTACTGCTAGTATGGCTGCTATCATTGGCCACAAACACAAAACCACGATCCACATTCTGTTTGGTCAGATCAAAATCAGGTTTACGACCCCCCAAACCAGTACCCACATCTTCCGCAGCAGGGAAGGAGCCCGATTGTGTTGCAGGCCTGAACAGATTGGGACGGTGGCCGGTCAAGGGTTTCCGGAGCTTGGCGAGACGGGGCGGGCGGGAGAGGCCGGCGGCGGGCTTTGAGTGGCCCAATGACGGCGAGCTAAACCCGAAATCCGGATCCATCTGACTTTGAAATCGCGCGTACGCGGTATAATAGTCGGTGACGGTACAAGATGATATATGCGAAGAGAAAAAATGACCGACGGTAGTGGAGCGCCGGAGTCAACGAAGGCCGACGACATAAGTCATCAAATAGGACGGCCGGTGACGAGCGGCGAACGATTCTCGTCGGATTTTGGGGAAAGTGGATGATGATTTCAATTTTATTCAGGAATCGAGGGCGTTTAGGAACGGCGGTTACTGTATGATTTGCCTGCGAAAGATTAGTAATAATATTAAAAAAAATGGAACTTGGAAATAAATCATAAATTGTGCCTTGTTTTTCATTTTCTTGGATTATTTACTTGAAATTGAAGGAAAAGGGTAAACACATGGATGTGAATCATCGGCCCTTTTCACATGAATCATGGTCGAACAAAGTTTTTTATTTCATTTTTTATTTTTTATACCGAGGTTCTAGGCTTGTGTCTGACTAGAAAACAGCCCTCAGCCCCTCAGAAACTGTCTCCAGTTAAATCGCGGTAGCCACGCAATGGCTCTCAGGTTTCTAACACCCTCAACTACGCGCACAAGGAGTCGATCCCCAAGTGATTACTCATTGACCCTCCCAGCTCCAAGTTGACCCCACTATCCAGCCGCAGGGTTCCACCCAAGTGGTTGCTTACACGAAGCTACGTCAATAACATATAAACAACTACACTATACACACTCACAAGACTAAAAACAACAATATTAATCTTCCACAATTGGAGAATTATAACTCCTACAAGTAAAGAATTGTAACTCTCAGAGGAGAATGAAAAAAGAAAACACAAAACCACGACACATAACTACAAACCACCTTAAACAGTAGGATAAAGTTCTTCCTTACTGTCAGCAAGCAACTCCAACCCATCGCCACACGAGGCAACCGCGAAGATGACCACTCAACAAATAGAACAACAACTACCCAAGACACATATTTAGAAACTCCAATATTGCTACAACTGACTAGATCTGGCCCAAACGAACCAGAACTGTGCCAAAGTGGTCACCACCGGACAGCAACACCTGGAGGCCACCACCCAACACTATCCCCCACCACAACCCGTCAACCACAGGTCGATTCATGCGGAAACGAATCGAGCCATGGTCAAATGCCAGATGGAACCCCTTTCCCAACACTAGAGAACATACATGTTTCAAATGGGGAGTAGTGACGTAGCGAAGGCGTAGACGATTGGAAGAATCAAGAGAAAACTCTCAATATTTTATTTCAATCAAAACTCAACTCTTCTCCTTCAAACATTAGAATGGGGGTCTTAAATAGAATTGTTAAGAAAACTACTTATCATAAACTTAAGACTCCTAAGAAATTCCTATTTAAATAACTTCCCTACAAAGTAAAGGACTAAAATAATTCTTTCAAATAATTAAATATCTTTCCTACTAAATCTAAAACTTATGATAATAAAATAAAATGAACTAATAATAATAAAATAAAATGAACAAATTAAGTAAACCAATTATGTCATCATGTTTGTCTAAAAAGGCCGACGCAATCTCGTCTCCACCATCCCCCTCCCCCCATCCCTCCATGTGAAGGATTTGCACTCGAATTTGGCACAATCTCGTCTGCATTGAAATTATCACCGTAGAATTGCACCAAATGCTTGTTATGCAAGACGTCTGAGGTGCGAATGCAATATGGCAAATGAAGGCGGTAGGCATTGTATTTGAGTTTATCCATAATCTCAACAAAAACAACTCGGATTGAGCATGAAAATCACTTCTTATCGGAAGATTGGCTGTCGACGGCTTGAGGAAATAGATACAAGTGACTCAGCCTTTCAATCAAAGGACTCAGCCAAATAGGATCGACGAAGAACAAGCGTCAACCCGACGTCCCATGTCACGTGTTCCTCGGCCACGTGGTCCTCGTCAGCAAAAAGAGAAAGGCCCTCATATCCAATCGTCCCTTGTCATAAACAGAGGTGGACCCTCATATTCGGTCGGTCCCTTATCATCAAAAAGAGGTGGACCCACATATTGGTCGATCTCTCATTATAAAAGGACGTGAACACTCATATTCGCTTTGCCCCAGCTCATCCAAGAACTCGGTGGCTCCAGGCCCCCGAAAATTTCGAGGATCTCA